AAAAAAAAAAAAAGAATTGATGTTCAATTTATGATTGAGAACTGATGGAATTAAAGGAAGAAGCCCAAGCTGCAATGAAGGCATTGGAGAAAAAAAAGGCTCTAGGAATTGCTGGAATACAAACTGAAATCTTTCAACAGACTGGTGCAGCACTAGAAGTATTCATTCATCTATGCCAAGAAGTTAGGCTACCTGGTCAACCAATTGGAAGAGATCCATATTTGTGCCTATTCCAAAGAAAGGTGACTCAATGGAATGTGGAAATCATTGAACAATATCAGCAATATCACTTACTAGTAAATGTTTGCAGAAGATAATTTAAAATAGCTGCAACAGTACATTGACAGGAAACTGCCAGGAAGTCAAACCAGATTCAGATGAGGATGCAGATGAGGAATATTATTGCTGATGACAGATAAGTCTTGGTTGAAAACAGAGAATACCACAAACATGTTTACTTATGCTTTATTGACTATGCAAAGGTTTTTGTCTTTGTAGATCATGACAAACTATGGATAACATTACGATGAATGGGTGTTCCAGAACATTTAATTATGCTCATGAGGAACTTGTACATAGGTCAAGGGGCAGTCATCAAACAGAACAAGGAAATACTGAATGGAAAATCAGAAAAGGTATGTGCTAGGGTTGTATTCTTTCACCATATTAACTCAACTTGTATGCTAAATAAATAATCCAAGAAGTTGGATTATATAAGAAGAATGTGGCATTAGGATTGGAGGAAGAATGTGCTACATTCTTCTTATATAATTACATTAACAACCTATGATATGCAGAAGATACAACCTTGCTTGCTAAAAGTGAAGAGGGCACAAAAATGGGAAATAATGTTAAGACGCTTGGCTGTCTTTTGAATCTTGGTTTCCCTTGCCTACCATTATAAAATAGACACTTGAGGGGGAGCGAAAGGAATAGCCAAAAATATCATCATAGAAAGCTTGTAAATCTGTCTTCTGCCTATAATTGATTGGAATACCTAAAATGGGGTTACAACTTGCCCAGTGCAGGAGGCTTCTTGCGGAGCCTCTGCATTGCATAAGACCATAGGTGGAATCCTGAACCCCATCCAGAATCTTTTGAGGTGGGAAATGTCCACTTGAAAGGACAAGCAGACCATCCTGGAGTAGCTAGAAGAACAGAAGATATTTCTTGAAAGAAAGACCGACAGGAAAAATACAAACAATAACGGCAATCTGACTGACTACTACAAGAACAAGCAAGTTGCTCACCCAGAAGACATCAAGGCAAGTGGTTGAGTCCCCTCAGGACAAACCCCCTTCCAAGATAAAAAGGCTCAATGGGACTACACGAGCAGACACGTGCTCTAACTGTTGACAATGTTGGTTACCGATAAGGGGAAGTGAGGGAAAACAGTAATGAAGCTGCAAGCTAAGTCCAACCATGTTCAATAGACTCCTGTGAACCTGGGTGGAGACCTGGTTGGCCAGCAGTTTGGCAACATCTGGGGACTCTTGGGCCCAGAGTCAGTGGCATAGCTACAGAGAACTAGAGTGTAGAGTGAAGCTTCC